GTACCAAAGATGGACCAGAGTGCTTGGAGCTTATGATATGGACTTTGTAAAACGTCTACTGTAGGTTTGGCACCATCATTAGGTGAATGCGGTCTGGTTATAAGATGACAAGAACGATATAATCATTCAACATGAAAAAATTCAATGGTTTATGTGGTTTATGTGGTTATTTTCACATCACCAGGACACACTAATCAATGCATACAGCTATTTCAAAAAATGTTGACTTCTGAATGACTTGATAGCGTATATTGAATCATAGCAATTAATGACATTGGGGCAGTTAATGCCCGGTTCAGACGTCGAACTTTTCATGAGCCGAACCCAATAACATCAAAGACCACCTTATTATCCATTGTTTTAAATGCGTTCGGTTCATGAAAAGTTCGACGTCTGAACTGAGCCTAAGCCAATTTCAGATTAAACGTACATGCTTTAAATAATGTATCCATACAAGATATTCTATTTTATTAAATTACAGAATGGTTTTATTTACATTTTAGCTTAATTCTAAACCTGCGTTGTGCTATTCAGCATGCAGTATTCAGTCTAGCATTCAACATTTTTTGAAATAGCTGTAAATTTGCCTTCATTCCTATTTGCAAAGARCAGTAGACCATCATATTCTCGTTTATCATATGCACTTAAACGTAAAAGCATTTAAACGTTATAGGCTCGAGGCAAAGTGATTATCGTCTAAGAATCACTGGTTGCTCGACCAATCACATGGCGTGAAACTCTATATACAGGTGTAAAATAAAACTAAAATTGATTATTTCGAGTGTAACACTAGTATTCTAACAAAAAAAGGAAGTTTATAGTCCATCGAGACTATGACTCACTCACAAGGCCATTTTCAGCAGCACCGATAAAATAACACTTTTCAYACAGCCATCCAAAATATACAGGTAAAATAGATCAGTTACAAAGAACAGGGATCAATCCCTTTCTGAAAATTCTTCCTAACCTAAGAAGAGATACTACACTGATAATAGAATAGGCATACGTGCATATGTAAATACATGTAATACATTAATCAAATGATGTAATCAATAAAGTCATAAATAAGCAATCAAAAATTTAAGGAAAAATAATTAATCAGAATTTATGCGTAGACCGCGAAAACGTTTTTAAAATCGCATTCAGAATCGTCCTTATTTCGATTCAATTTTCACACGGCTTTTTAATTGCTGGTCCTTTTTTTGCTCCGATCAATGATCTTGAACTTATGCCAAATTTACCCGAATCTCTTCCGAAAGGGTACGACAGAATCCGGGGCTGAATCGTGCTATAGTTTATTCTAAGTCCTAAATCATTTCAAGGTACTGCACTTTAAATGAATTGACTGACAATGTCAGAAAACCCACAGAAATGAACTTTCTAGAAGAATGGTCTCGTTTGTCGTGCAGGTGCATGTTATTGCCGCCATTGCCATATTGCCGTCATAGCCGCCATCTTGGTTGGCGACAACAAAGCATTCCTCATTAACATCTATTGTTAGATCAACCAAGATGGCGGCTGTTTCATTGTTATTTATATGTCAAGGGATTTTGAGTCGCATGGTTGCATTCACTCTATGCAGGGCATTATCTGTGAAACAAAGAGAAGCGCAAGGCCCAACTATCGAGGGTAGATATACCTAGTCGTATGTTTTTCCTTTCGGACAAGGTGCTGTTCTCCATTAACTTTTWATTTTTGTGTTCAATGGAATGCTTGAGAAGACTATGGCCATATATGGATGCAATAGTCCCTTTCACATTTCCCTGCCCCAATCTTGAAAGTAGCCGTGGTAGCGTGCTTCCAATGAGAGACCTTTTTAAGATCTTGAACAATTATTCATTCATTCACTCACTCACTCACTCACTCACTCTCACTCACTCACTCACTTACTCACTCACTCACTCACTCACTCGCTCACTCACTCATCCATTCATTCATTCATTCATTCATTCATTTATTTATATATTTATTCATTTACATTCATATTTTAACAGGGAGCTTCTTCACTCATTAACCTAACAATTATTTTATCTAAGGCTCGTAATTTACCTATTACGCATGTACATAAAAATAGAACGACTATTCTCAGCACTCGTGATATCCTTCACGTTTTACAAGACAGTAACAACATACCCAAGTACTATTGTAATGTTAATCATATTTCTCTATAGTTACGATTGGTTTGTTTGCCGCTGTATACGCGCAGTTCAAAAACCGTTAGATTACCAAGTAAAACATTTGCATTTCTACAACTGGATCAACGTTTGAGAAAACGAGTTTTTTATAGAAAGATGGTTATTTTAATTCAAGAAAATAGTCAGTCCTTAGTATTTCGCTTTTATACAAAACGTGCACGAATGTAGACAGAACTTGAGAATTATCGGGTAATTGAAAATTAATGCTTTAAACATCTGTTGTTTAGGGGAACGATAATTGAGTTTTAAGTACAATAACTGCTGTTACTCTTTGGCACGCGCCTTGCAATAGAGATAGGATGTCATATTATCTGACGTAGTTCGTCTCTTATATTAACAGCTGATTACCATGTGCAAAGATATTTTTGTCTGAGTTTCTGAGACTCATAAGACCTTTATTACACCGCCTTCCAATGCATGCCTGAAAGACATTCTCAGTTCTCAGTACACCAGGGTTTTTTAATATATTTTTCTTGGTCAGGTTTCTTGGTGTTGCAGGATGTATTGTATTCTTGGTCAGGTTTCTTGGTGTTGCAGGATGTATTGTATTCTTGGTCAGGTTTCT